GTCTTATTTATTCCCTTAAAAGTGGCTTAAAAAGTCTTGACTGATGCATTTAGACTGCTTGTTTATTTACGTTCGTCTGACAGGACTTTTTACCTCGATAGAACCTTCTTCATAATTCCCTAAGTGTTCCCTGCAATGTGGTTTTCCACGATATTGTTAAGAATTCTGCTTGCATACTGGAGAAGTCCACCTACCAGATATTTGTTTCCTATTGTCTAGTTGAGTCTGGTTGGAAGAATCTGGTCGATTCGATGATCACTAAATATAGCAATACCAGCAACTGAATAGCCGGGCAAAGAAGTAAGATGTCAATGAGATAGTGGGCATTAATTGAGAGTTAAAGGAACCATTAAGGGTTTAAGATATACAAAAACTTGTTCGCATCGAAATAATCACACTTTTTACCAAACTGGTTTGATAGGAGTGGAAGTCTACGGCATAAAGCAGGATACAGCACATTAGAAGACATTGCAGTCAAAAAGGTAGCAAAATGCGCATAGTGCAGGGGCAACGAGTAAAAAAACAGTTGCATTCTGGACTATATATAAAAGTAGCAACAGACGATACGACAATGCTTAAAGGGGCAGTCAGCACCATCCGTATCTAAGGCTTCATTCAAACCACAAAGGTGAACTCGGAAATGTATTCTGAGTACTACAATCTATCTGCGCCAAAGATTTACGATTACGCAAATTAAGTCGGCTGCCTCTTTATCGAATCGTCTTATGTAAAATTGAGCTTGTGTCGTACAATTTTTAGTAAACCTGATGAAGTGATGCACAATCGGTGCAAAAACCTGCTAGGCACCTGCTTCCATTCCGGTTATGACAAAGTATCAAAGAAACACATCGAGGATTGCAAAAAGGGAATTCAATGAAATATTGAAGTTTATGAAACATTTATGACTTCTACCGCGAGACGTGTGGATAATATTGTGTTGGAATTTAAGATTAATATTGCAAATAATTGGGAGCGAGGGTGCTAATAAAGCAAGATTCCACGAGCGAAATGAGTGCTTTCGCTGTGAACAAACACCTTCAACAGTCTATTTCAGTCTCTTTCTGATGGCGATTCATGCAGAAAGAATGAATTACATATTTGGGAATCAAACTTGTGAATTCTTGTCGAACTATGAGCCGTGTTTTAACATATTGAAAGACACATATAATTCCAGAGGCGGACGAACCAGATTTGAAAGGTGTGCTTATTGTGTTTTTTTCCTTTTTATGTACGAGCAGTTTTTATAGGCAATTTCCATATTTGTTGTTGATAGAAACCAAAATGCCCTTCGTGGGTGCCCTATAGAGAAACACATGCGTTTATCCCATCGAGTTTTTTTAGCTGAAGTAAACGGACGTTTTCGAATACGTCCATACACGGATCCATATACGGATGCATCTAGCTTATTGAACCGTTTTCCCGTTCATGCAAGAGCGTTGTCTGGGCCTACTAGACACTTCTTTCCGGTCCCAAAGTTTGATTCAATCTCGCACGTATGTATTATACTTGCCCAGTGAAATGCCCCACCCCGCTGTTTTGTGTTCGGAACTTACGCCATCTCCAACCTTTTTAGTTTCTGTTCACAGTAATCAAAATTTACTGTGTCCGTTATCATCCCGCGGCATTCTTCTTCCCAACCTTTACTTGACGCTCTAATGGGACAGCTAAAACGTATTCGCACATGAATGGGATAGACTTATAGACTCGGGACACTAGCAAGTATTCGAGGGCGCCACAGAGTAATAGCTTCTGCAGTAGCATTTTTACTTTCAACGAAACTTGACCTAGTACACCGTCTCTGAGAAGAGACTTCATGATTCGTTATTGTTTGTGATTGCTCATTCCCATCGTTTTGGCGCACGTTAACTTTATTCACTAGGATTGTCTACGGTTAAATAGACTGTAGGTTAACGTCAACTGAAGCTCCCTTAATGCTTTAAATCTCACTACCCCAGACAACCGGTCCAAATCGATGTGAATGTTTATGGAGCGACTTCGGTGTCATTTTCATATGTCGCCAATGCCGTACTTTCTCGGCAATTCTGTTATCCTTCATGCTTGACCGAGTCCTTTAGTATCCGTTAGCGGATCATACGGATTTGGCAGTGGTCCATACCCTGCGGGTCTTTACTAAATTCACGAAGTCACTGGCCTTTCAGTTGATGATTTCTAACTATATGAAGCCACTGACCAGATCCAATAAGAAATTACCCTACACTACTAGTGCTCAGGGATCTTGTCACCCACTCAGTAAGAGTTCACGGACCAGGGTAACAGCCTAAGTAGCTGCAGCCAAACTTTTAACACTGCTTTTTGCAAAAAAAATATTCTGCTCAAAATACACCAGACGGGGTGGACCGATCCTCAAACTTTGAAACTATTCAGATCGCCCAAGTTTAATCTGTTTCACTGCCTTTAGCGAATTTGATTACAGCAGTCTGTTTTATGATAACTTTTGATGTTGAACAATTTGAATAATTCCTCAGTCCTCCCCAAACGTGCTATGTATCTAGCTGCCTGGTGTTGTGTCTGCGGTGAATTAAGGTAACTCTTAGACCGATCGAACCTCGCATACAATTGCTTTTATTCTCCTTTCCGTTCAGTCGCATAAAGTCTCCTCTCCGCTCTTGACTATACTCTATCGTCCGTTATCCAAGCCTGAGTAGTAATTTTACGCATTCAAACAGCCACAGGGAGGATGCAACGTCAGTTAACATTCAAAAGAGTTGTTCTGTAGTTATAGTGGAACGGCTTATGAATATATTTTACTTAATATAATAAGCAATCTGTCTCAACGCGGGAGTCACAAAATTATATGTCAAGACGAGATTTTGCAACTACAGCGACAAACATTGCTAATATTACCGCTGAGATCCTTACCACTTTCAAGTACTGATTGTTATGCCACTCGGGCGCACAAAAGTTCGAAAGTTCGATGATGTGAGAGAGTTATTTGTAGTAGTAACTGCTAGCAGGCCTGGCTGCTCTCCCACAAACCTTTTCCTAACAATTTGATAGCTTCTATTGTCTTCCGTTAATATTGATCTAACCAGGTCTGTTGTTCGTTGCATCCCGCACTTGTGCCGCCCATGGTCCGCGATAAAAAGCTGGCCCCGAATGGTAGGTGGCAATCTGGCATCCTTATCCTTTTATCCGAAGTTGTCAGATTCAACTTCTCTAGACTTGTTCTTGTCTTATTAGTTGCTTTTATTAGCCACTTAAGAGAGGTTGTTAATATAAATAGCGATTTAGAAAGATGCCTTTGAAATGAGTTCAGCATCCGCCTACGGAGAGTTACATCTAACCATACGAGATAACTCATTACCGACAGCTCACTGAATTTAGCAGACAAGCCTGAACATCTGAGGAAGTTGATATTTGTCCCAATCCACGCCTCACGGGTTGCGGACATACCGACATGAATCTTCTTCCTCTTGAGGATTCTAAGCACGATGTTACGCCCGATCGTTTCGTTGTCGTTTCTGCTTAGTCAAAAGGAAGCTAGCGTCTCTCCCGCAGAAGTATCGTAGGCCGAGAGCTGATCGGTTAACTGAGATTTTCCAAAGAAATTGAAATCTTGTCCAATAGACGATCCAAAGCGTACATGAAACTTGCAAGTGGCTCGATAGTTGCTTCTCAAAGACGGCGAGGTTCACCACGGCTGCTTAAGGTGCATACGACTGTGGCTTGCATGATAATTTAAGTAAAGCAAGTTGGTGCTGCATGTGCCTCACTCCGTTTGATGGTAAGGAGGTTTGGGTGGACACAGAACTTGACAAAACTAAATCGCCTGCCCACATATACACGACTTGGACCCTAACTTAACACGTACCCAACCCACTTCGGAGGGTTTCCTAAGTATTACACGATCGATAGTGCTATAACAGTATAATTTATAAAGATCCATTATTATTCCGTCCCTCGTTATAAAGGTCTGTGTCCTTCCGGCAGCTGTCTATCTTTATAGTCCGGACACCCAATGCATCGTGATAGATTGAGGCGCGTAACGTCCATTGTCGCGAGGAGTGCGTTGTTTTGCCAATGTACCTACTTATCACTTTCCCTTTCCTTCACCTCAGTTTGCTATACAAATTTTTTAGCGAGTGGTACTAAGCCTTAGCCACAAGGGGCGGAGTGGTGTCCGCCTCCGTCTGAAGTGTGATACGCGGGCGCGGCAGTGCTAAACGGCCAACAGAGACCGCGCGGCTATAAAATCGCATGCCACGGGTTAATAGCACTTCTGTTGTAGTCTAATGAAGATTCAGTGCAGACTGCTTGGGCGACTTGGGATAAATTTCCGAAGGCGAGGTATAATATGTAAGCTTCAATCCTCTAAAATAAAAGATTGTTTTCGCGCCTACAATGCGTTTGCCCAGGTAAAATTTTTCGTAAGTTTGTTAGTACAGAACCTTTCAGAAACAGGATTAACGCATACTGGAGGTTATAAACTATTAGTCAACGTGTTCAATTCCTCATATTTGTTTTTTGTGACCATAATCACATTTTAATCAGACATTAATGGCAAATTTTCTAGTTTTTTGCCTGTTTGGCAGGAGTTAGTATTACTGTGAGCTGCGTTTCCAACTTATGAAACGGGCTTGCATCGGGCGATTAATTTGACATATAAAGTTCACAGGAGTAATTGAAAGCTTGTCAGAGCAGAGTAAATCGGCAATATCGAACGAATTTGCTACGGAGACCCAAGTCAGAATTTTACCCTTCCAAATTTTGTCGCTCCTTTTTGTATGTAAGGCATCAAAAAGCTTAAGAATTTTTTCGATGTGACATCTCATTAATTGTTTCTTCTACGTTTCTGTTTTATTACAGAGAATATGGCCTCGGTCATACAGAAGAATTTGCGTTTGACAGCGTCCACACCTCTTCCTGCTTCCTCGTCAAAACGACAGTTAGCGAGGAGATTCGGCGAAGGCCAGCTTGAGGATTCGATACTCAATACTCCGGACTTCAAACTTAATGATTCTCAGAAAAAGATGTATGTCGCCCAACGTACTCGAGCGATTTTCAACATAATTGCCCGACCGCCGCTCCTCCACTCTCCCAGTTTTGGCATTGAACTCCCTTTTACACCAAAAGGCTCAAAAGCGAATGAATTAGCGAAGGCCAACGGCGAAATAAGAGATCTTGCCTGTTCTGATGCATGTTTCCTGTCTATTGACGGCCTGCTAGACGGAATATTTGTCGCCCGAAACGCCATCGAGTATTTGTACGACGAATGTTCTTCCGCCCATGAAGGCTCAGATAAGGACGATGTCAAGACCGCAACTCTAAGTGTACTGGACTACTTCCTTGGACGAGGTACGTACACTTCTTGAATCCGTTTTCGGCTTTCATGAGTTTCCATGAACATTCTAATAATCGATTGTTCTGTTGTTGAGCTTTCATTAGGGTTATCGCTTAAATCTAAGCCATATAATTTATTGTTTAAATTCTTTGAGCTGTTTTTATGTTTAGGCTCTCAGGTGCTTTAAATATTCAGTCAGTTTTTCCGTATACTTCTACCATGAACCTTGTGGCTATAGAGCCACTCCCCTTTAGGAATTATTTGACCTGTTTGCTTTAGACTCGGCTTTGTGGCTTAATACACCTCGACTGAGTTTTGTTCGCCTAGGTTTTATATTCTGTAGAAGAATACAGTGTTTAAATAATCCTTTTTAGTGAATCCTATACTTAAAAAACTTGGGACCCTTCGTGTCGGTCTCAAGGATTTCCGCATGGGAGAAATTATCGGCCGTGGAGCCTGTGGTGTCGTCCGTGTGGTTAAGGAGCTTGCGCCGCCACACTCCGTCTTCGCTATGAAATCCCAATTCAAAGGCACTTGGCTTTATCATGATCCTGTAAGCAAAACATATCTGTTATTCCTCGGCTTTATGTTTTTGTTACCTCGTTTATCACTGACTCATGAAAGGCTGATGGCATTGTTTCAGTCCTTTGAGCGTTTGTAAAGTGTTAAAGTTTAATTTGACATTTACTTTTAAAGATCCTTACAATGTCACAAGAAATTTACGTCTATTCATCCCTGGTGGCCAGTGAGTCACTTCTTGTTGGCTAAATATCACTACCTATGTTTGATTCGAATCTAGCCAACGAGTGTTCGCACCATCCTTAATTATGTTTTTCGGTTCCTCCCTACACCGACGCTGGCCAGCTGTATCACATGCGTATTGTATTATTAATGGAAGTGTTTTATTGACGGCTCTCGTGTATGCGCATGCGACCACGTAGATTCGTGCGATGCTTAGCTAGGACAGGGCTCCTGCCAGCCGTTCTGCAGTCTTGCTGTGATTGATTATCAAACATCGAACCAAGCAAGGGTGGTTTTGGCTGTTTCACGGATAGCTACTTTTTTTCACGGCAATAGTGAAGGTGAAGGTCAAACTAGTGAGACTGGTCGGGCATTTTAATGTTGTGGAGCGTGCCTGGACTCGGACTTTATAGTTGCCACAGCCCTGGACCCCGGGGTACACGGTATTCTTCAGTCAGCTGTGCTATCTATGAGGCATAGGCCACCACCCAAAGAGGACTCAACCGGACCACTGCAACTGGGACGCATAACCAAGTCCTCAATCAACGGTAATGTGCGATTTACCAACAGGCGACATTGGTCAACCAGGCCCAAGGTCAGACGAAATGCACAACTGGCGCCGAGAACAATAGGAGTGACATGTAAGGGGCACACAGGAGAGCATGACTTGGGTCTTAGTGGCGTTTAGGCGTAATCCGATGGATCATGCACGCTCAATGATCTTGTCCAGCGCCTGCTGAACTGCAACACAGTTGTCGCCGAAGAGGACGTCATCAGCATACGCCAAGTCAGTCACCCATTTCGAGCGATCAAACTGC